TAAAAGTCAAGATGAAATCAAAAGAGAGCATATTTACTGTCTTTTTTTGGTCATATCATGAGCAATCTTCCAGAGGGAAAAAATATTCAAATTGTGATGACTTGCTGTCTCTGAAGTGACTTTCCTTAATAGCTTGCATTTATTTATTTACTGTTTGTTAGAAAATAGCTAAGTAGTTATGAAGCCAAAATGAAGTGTTAAAATTATTTACTATTTTAAATTAGTTCTGTTACTAATGTTCATGTTCACTCCTAACAAATAGTAAAAATGAACTGCTTCTGTTTCCTTGTTTTTCAGAAACTCTTTCAGGCAATTGGTCCTCCTCTCCGTGAAGGAAAGCCTCTCACAGGTAGAACAGAGAACCAGCAAATATAAAGCAACACGTGCAACATGCATCAGGATACTCAGCTAAACTAGAGGAGCTGGCAGAAACTATTCCAGAAAGTGTCTGTTTTTTATTGTGCATTATAAATTGTAAGGCGGCATGTTTAATTGAAATAAAACATGAATTGCGATATGACTTTTATCAAAAAATATGTTTATCAACAAAAGAGAAGCTTTAAGGGCTCCCTGCAGTTTTCTATCTAAATAAAAGTTCAGTGGTTTAACATTTGAAAATGAAGAAATTGAGACATTATTAGTATTACAATTTTACAGTTGTAATGTAAAATTAAATTATTATTATTTTTCTTGAATACTCAAGCTTGGCTATTTTTTATAGTGAAATTTTAGTAATATTTCTTGTTTAGTATAGTTTGTATTTGTATTTAAAATAAATAAATAAATAAAAATCTATAGCAATATTGATATATAATCACAAGATTGTGACCAAATTGTTAAGCCCTACACTCACAACAAGCCTAGATTGTTTTAAAAATTACACCGTTTTTATTGCATTGCAAATCCTAAAAGATGCATATGAGTTCTGATTTGAATTTTTTGGGATTTAACTCAAATTGAATAACTCATACTTTCTTTTGCACATTGTCAGACTTAACATGTTTCACAAGAGATACTCAGCAAAGAATGAAAAGACAAAAAATGACAGCCAACTCCAACCCAATAACAATGTTATTAATAGATAATGAATAGATAATAACAGTGTAAATGCCACTGATTTTTGACTGCTGAAGTAGAATGGTTTTCATTCCTGAAATCTTGTCAGCTAATGCTAAACTAAAGTGCACATAATCACATTTTCCCATTTGTTTCCTTCCTCAGATGAGCATGTTGTGATGGGAAATAAACTGCTGGTGTACATCAGGTGAGGTGACTTTCTGCATAAGTACTGCACTCATACATAGTTGCGTGCCATTACACACCTGTTTCCTTCTCCTCTGCCAGCTGTTGTTTGGCAGGACGGGCCTATCCGTTAGGTGACATTCCTGAAGATCTGGTCCCTCAGGTGAAAAACCAGGTAAGAAGTCTGATTAAACCCAGATTGCAGAGAATGTGTTTTGTTTGGTCAGCAGTCACATTGTCATGTTCCATACAGCTCAACACCGTAACACTCATGTCTGTTTTGTTTGTATGGGTCTGTATGAGTCACGCAACTCTTTCTCTCTCAGTTATATATAGCACAAGTGTGTGTTTAGTATTCTCTGCAGTTTGCTCTCAGCAGGGCTTTTAGAGAGATTTTCTCTTTGTTGCCCATTCAGAGTGCTCAAGTGATTCGTTCTGGGATGGACAACCTCCAGAGGAACTTAAATACGGACATGGATCACACACACACAACCTAAAGCTACTCTTACACACACACACATTGAGTGCTGTCACACTCTATAGGTTTGAGTGAAAAGCATGACAGACAGGGTTGTTTATTCCAATAATGTGTAGAGATGATCTGTACTGAAACAAGACAGAATGTTCTCGGCTAAATCAAGGAGAGTGTGGAAGAATCCAGGTTTAGGTTTTAAGATGGGCTGCAGAATACCCACTGAAAGTATAAAGAAAGTAATAAATACATAAAAAAAGGGAAATCGGCTGGTGGTTTTCTGCCAGGATATTATCGATTGAGTCTACGGTAATTTACCCTGAAGCAGAGTTTGACTGACAGGTGGTCTGACCAATTATAACGCAGCATCTGCCATTTTGTCCGACAAACAAACCAGACCGGAGAGTAGATTAACGTTGGTGAACTTGAACTTGAAAAGTGACGTGTATTGACATCCTTCCATGGTTGAAACAGAATACTTTCTGATGTACACTCATGTTTATCTTGTGCCATAATACGAGTCCCTCAGTTGTCCTCAATGTGAAAAGATGGAACTCAAAATCATACAGTCGTTGTTGGAAAGGGTTAAAATACACAAAAATGCTGGAAAACCAAAGAATTTGTGGGACCTGAAGGGTTTTTCTGAAGAACAGCAGGCAGTTTAACTGTTCAGGACAAACAAGGGACTCATGAACAACAATCACTAAACAAAAAAACACAGCTGTGGATCATTCAGGTAACAACACAGTATTAAGAATCAAGGGGATGTAAACTTTTGAAGGGGGTCTTTTTTATAAATTCAATTATTATTTTCTCTTGTGGACTATATGCAAACATCTTTTATGTGAAATATCTTATTCAGGTCAGTACTAAATAAACAATAACATGCATTTTGTATGATCCCTCTTATTTTAGTAAAATAATTAACATTTTGCAGATTCTGAAATGGGTATGTAAACTTTTGACCTCAACTGTACATTAAAATATTTGACATAAAAAAACTGAACAAAAAAGCAGTACTGAAAAAATAGGCATAGGCCTTTTTCAAAGTATGACAACACGGGTAACATAGTGACTCGGTGACCAATAAAATGTTTGCAGCCTACACATGCACACACATATATATATATATA